ATTTGTGCTCTGTAAGTATGTTTCCATGCCTTTTTGTATAGAAAATGCTCTACGTTATTATTTAAAACAATATAATATCAACAATTTGTAAATCATAAAAATATTTATAGGATAGTTCTTAAAAAACAAAGGTAAAGTCTTTTTTGAAGACCAGTTAGATTAGCCACCTATTGAACTTTCCTAGTGCATCAACATTTAAAATAGTTTAATATATTTAACACAAGATGAGTCATTGAGTTGGGCTTGTGTGCATGTTGTTTGTTTAGGGTTTTTTAAGTAACAGATTTTAGCTACAAAACAAAGCATTTTCTGAAGCACTTATTCAATTCCTAGTGATATTTCTCAAGCATATTTTATTTAAAAATAATGATTTCAGTTACAAAGCACATATAGTAAGAACTTTCAAATGTTCACTCTAAGTGGCAGCATTGCAGCACAAGTGAAATACAGTATTTTAGCACCCGTAGCAGGAAATCTGTTTAAAATCAAAACCAACCAACCAACCAACCAAAAAAAACCCATAGGGAAAAAAAAAAAGGAAGTACACCATGCAAAAACTAATTCAGCAGTAATGCGAGTTTTATGTCTGTACAAGTGGTACAAAATGTACTTAAACCACCTTGCCCCCATCTCTCCCTTCTTTCCTAGGCTCAGCTTCACTGCTGATTTCTCTACCTCCTCCACCCCAGGGGGACAGAAAATGGGGACTGTGGTCAGTTCATCACACATTGTCTCTTGCCTCTCCTTCCTCTGTGGGGGGGGGAGCTCCTCACACTCTTTATCTGCTCCAGCGTAGGGTCCCTTCCATGGGAGAAAGTCCTCCCTGAACTTCCCCAACGTGAGTGCTTCCATGGGCTGCAGTTCTTCATTAAGTGCTCCAGCATGGGCTCCCCATGGACTAACAAGTCCTGCCAGCAAACCTGCTCCAGCATGGGCTTCTCTCTCCACTGGGACACAAGTCCTACCACAACCCTGGTTCAGCATGGACTTCACATGGAGTCAAAGCCTCCTTTGGGCATCTGCCAGCTCCAGTGTAGGGTCCTCCATCAGCTGCAGGTGAATCTCTGTTGCACCATGGACCTCCACGAGCTGCAGGGGCACAGCTACCTCACAATGGGCAGCACCACGGGCTGCAGGAGAATCTCTTCTCTGGTGCCTGGGGCACCTCCCCACCTCCTTCTTCACTGACCTTGGTGTCTGTAGTGCTGTTTGTCCCACATATTCTCACTCCTTCCTTCTCTGGTAGCAATTGCTCCCACACAGTAACTCCTTCCTCTTCTTAAGTTTGTTATTTCAGCAGCACTACTGCTGACTCTGATGGGCTTGGCCTTGGCCAGTGGTGGGTCTGTCCTGGAGATGGCTGCATTGCTTCTGTTGGACATGTGGGAAGCTTCTTACAGCTTCTCACAGAAACCACCCCTGTAGCCCCTCTACTTCCAAAACCTTGCCACACAAAGCCAATACAGCCATAGTGTCTCTGCTTTGATTTCAGCCTCAGACTTTAACTTTCAGTAGGTGGAAATACTTTCCATCAGCAAGACACACTCTCCTCATAGTTCTCAGATAAAGAAATGTCCCACTTACTTGTAAAATAATAATTTTGAAAGATGTCAATCTTCTAAGTCTAATTCCCTGGACACCTAAAACTTCTGGGTAGGCTAGCACAGCCACAGTTACTTTTGAGTGACAGGTAGGGCTGCAGTCTAAGCTTGGTGGTGAGGAGAGCAGGATCATGATCTGCTTCTGCTGCAGATGAGTCAGCAGATTCATCTTATCCTGACCTCAAGGACAGGACAAAAGAACACCTTGTCATGTTTAGCATTTATAAAGGATGAAAATTATCTCCAGGCTTGCAGGAAAGATGGTTCAGAGAAGAGATGTTCTCCCAAAACCTTGTTCCTCAATATCCCTTCTAGATGGTTATGGTTGCATGAAGAACTTAATTAAAGCAAATATATCAACCAACCTCCTGTAGTAGTTCTCAGTGGTAGCCATTACTTTTGTACAGTTCTTAACAATTAAACTCAACAATTTCATGATCACTGTGGCCAAGACAGCCACCAGTCATCACTTCACCCATGAGATCACCTCTAGTTACAAAAACAGACCTAGGAGTACACCTTTCCTACTCAGTGTGCTTAGCACCTTTATCAAAAGTCAATATGTGCTTTAGGACTTTGAAAGGCTTCTGGAGTAGGCCCATGCAAACTTTCTGAAGGACAATATAGACAAGTTCAACATCCTGCTCCCGGCTCAGGGCAATCTCCAGTATCACTACAGACTGGGGGATGAAGGGTTTAAGAGTAGAGGAGAAGGACTTGGAGATACTGGTGGATGAAAAATGAGATCAGCAACATGCGCTTACAACGTGCACAGAAAGCCAACCGTATCCTGGGCTGTGTCAAAGGCAGTGTGGCCAGCAGGGCAAGGGAGAGGATTCTCTGCCCTTCCACTCTACTCTGCTAAGACCCCATCTGGAGTGCTGCATCCAACCCTGGGGTCCTGCGCACGAGAAACACTTGAACCACTCAAAGAAAGTGCAGAGAAGACAATAAAAATGATGAGAGGATGAGAACACCTCTCCTATGAGGAAAGGCTGAGAGAGTTGGGGTTGTTCAGCCTGCAGAAAAGGAGATTCTAGTACTACCTTATTTTGGCCTTTCAATATTTACATAAGAAACATGGAGAGATGCTTTTTATCAAGGCCTGTAGTGACAGAACAAGAAATTACAGATTAAACTGAAAGAGGGTAAATTTAGATTGGATGTAAGGATGATACTTTTTACATGGGGCTGGTGAGACACTGGACCCGGTTGCTTAAAGAAGTTGTGGATGCCCCATCCTTGGAAACATCCAAAATCAGGTGGGATAGGGCTTTGAAATGCAGTGAAAGATCTCCATACCCTCCATATACTGGAGGGCAGTGGTGGTGTTTTGTGTTTGGACTAGATGTTATTTAAGGGTCTCTTCTAATCCAAAACACCTTCTTTTAATGAATTTCCCAGACCTCTTCAGGTCTTATTCCAGGTGGTAGAGACCAGCATAGACTTTATCTTTGAGTAGATTTCAAATGAGTGCATTGAAGTCTCTTCATTCTATTGCTATTATCAGATCTATTAAAGCATGTAACAGTAACACCTCTTAACTAAACAAACATAACTATAACTGTAGGTCAAGGTAGCATTATGAGTATCATGCTTTCAAAGTCCTTGCCACGCAAAAAGATAAAATCTGTTCAGCAATTCTTAAAATAAGAGCTATCATTATTTCATCTAGGACTGTAGGAAAGGGGGGGAAAAAAGGCAAATTTTATAAAACTATCTTTATTTTTTGTCTTACATTTAAATAGGGATGTATTTCATCTTTAGACATCCAACCAACATTTACTTCATTAGTTTAGACAGGAAAAATAACAGGATATAAATACAAATCATATTGGCACACCTATGCCAGTGCTGACTGCTCCACTAAAAGAAAACCTTCTTCAGCATTTAAGTCAAGCACTTAAAAAAATTGCTGAAAAGCAAGTGCCTAGATACTAGTCGTTTCAGCAAATAAACAGTTTTTATATATTTGACCATTTTAAGTCCATACTATTCACACTTTGTTATGTGTATGGAGTTCAGATCATACAAACACTGTACAGATCAAAAACCTCTGAGAATAAAACTCATCAGGTGTACATACCACATGTACAAAGCTAAAAATTTGGTCAAGTGCTACAAAGAAGGATGTTTTCATATGAGAATGGTCAAGTAACCTACTTTTCAGCTCAAATAAAGACAAAGAACTAACTTCATGAGTTTGAAATAATCAATAACACAGACTATTGGAGTGGAAACCTTATGACCTGTTATACCGTGTCTTTTTGTAGACCAAGTTCAGGTTTTCTAAAACAAACACTTCAGATCATGAACACAAATAACAATGAAGATCAAAGTATACATATAAGCACACAATCCAAACAATAAAATACACTTTTGGCTTTTAAGGATAAATAAATTACAAAATACAATTAAAATTCTTGTAAATGCAATGATTAATTCAAAAGTGTGCATTTATTTTAATATACATTTTAAATGCTACCACAAAACAGGTTAAAAATAAATTAGTATGCCAAAAGACATGTGTGGATAGAAAAAAATGGCTAGAAGAATTATAAAAAAATGGAAATAATCTGAGTTTTGGTCAATAAATCTGTCTAGTCACTTCCATCTTTCACACTTTTTCTTTAATAACTGGTAGCTAAACATGACAAAAGCATAACTGTCATTATGGCTTTAAAAGAAGCATATATTTTCTGAAAAAGAAAATGCAAAATGGGCTGTCTTGTCTACAGAACTGTTGGTTTGCTCATATTGCAAGCACTTCATGGGACTGTAGAGAAGTACCTGACACATCCTTGCCATCCTATCTTACACTGCAAGACAAGCAACTTCCAAGAAAACAATCATGGGAAATTTTGGGTGCTATGGGCTGGTATAGAGAGAAGTCTAACTCACTTCCATTGCATTTGTTTTCTAAATTAAAGAGCAAAATAATTTACAAATACATCTCTAACTTTTCATGGCACATCTATATTTTCAAATTAAAGATGATGTCAATCATCAGTTACCTTAGTGAGCATACAGGCTTTAATACTGATTACGCTTTAATCAGAATCACATTTCTTCTTTTATAATTGCTCTGTAGATCTCTTTTGAAGGTAATTCAATTTTGCTAACATTATTAGAAGCACAGCTTAAATAATACAAACTTCTGTATTCTTTGTACAAATGCTCTTGTAATTTCTACTGTACTGTAATTTTCATTGTAAGCATAACAAAAGCAGACTTTCAAACCAAGAGGCTACTGGAAATACTTTCTGTTCATTATTATCTCCAGCATTTAGATAACTGTCAACAACTGAATCAGCCTCCCCAGTATCTCTACACAGTGACCATTTGGCTACAATATCAACAGTAATACTGGGACAAAAGAAGAAAAACAATGCAGGTGTCATAAAATAAATCTTAAGATTTTATTGTTTTTCAATATGGTTGTGCATTCATATTTTTCTTCTGCATTTTTGAAGAGAACTGCTTTTGATACACTGCTACAAACTCAAATAACAGATTTATGACATCTGTCTTCATCTAAGACACAGCTGCTACTTCTTAGAAAAGAAGAAATACTTCTCAAGTTCACTTTTGCTCAAGATACTGTTCATTTCTATCACATCGTTGGTCCATATGTTGACGGTCAAAGAACCACTCCTATTCGACAATATTTTAAAGCTTTCAGAATAGATGAATTAAAGAAACAAAAGTTCAATGCAGAAGAACCAAATCAAAGCACACAGGCATGACACTGTTTCTCACGGAGTCCTTGGAAAATGTGTTTACTATGGAGGTTTTTGCTTTGGGTTTTGTTGCTGTTTTTTTTTAAGATCACAAGACAACAGGTGAACAAGTAAGCATTTTCCCATGTTCATTTGTTGCGCTGAATGGTTTTCCTTTTCCTCCGCTTGAATAAACAGCAGCACCTGCAAGTGTGACACAAATTACATATGATATAAAAAGAAACAGCAAAACTAAACTGATTACTGTATGTTTCACTTAAGTACATAGTTCAGGCATAGCCAGCACCAAAAAGAACACACTACTGCAGATGATTGATTTATTAGTGAAAGAAACTGAAGTAGAGATATTTTTTACACATTCCATCTTTTTTTGGAAAAAAAAGTATCAAATGAAAAAAGCTATGATAGAAATAGCTACTAAGTTTAGAGTATTGATGAGAGTATCAAAAGCACAGGCACTATAGGTTGACTTAAAATGTGTTTGTAAGAGTAAAGGACACTCCATTACCTGAGTACTCTTTAACTGGTAATATTCCAAGTAGAAGCTTGCACTTAAGATTGTATCACCTAAACTGTGCACTTGAGACACTACTGTTGCTAATACAAGAAAACTTGAGCTTCCTTTGTCAACCAGAACTTGGAAAAACCTTCCCCAAGGCTATTCCCCAAAATTTTTTGGAACAAAATATTCATGAACAACATAAAATTAATGTCCTCATCCAGTGCTGTGATAACACTACTACAGTGAAAAATCACAGCTTAAGTATTAAGTACACTGACATTCTTTATTCTGCTTTATTGATAAATACTGTGAATTTTACTTAGCAAACAGAGACCATCTGAAAGTACCTGAAAGAATACTACAAAATGAAAAAGAACTGGAGGGAGCTACGGACAGATAATACAGAGGACTGCAGAAGTCCAGAAAGTACTTCTGAAAATAAACTGAAGAGGAAAGCAACAAAGAACACAAAGAAAATTAATTCATCTGAAAGCACTGTTAGCCTTATTTTAGGCAACTCCCAACTCCTGAACACCACCTTTAAAAGTAAAGCTTCCATTTACTAAAGCATTCACACTGTGCAATCAAAAGTGAACATGCAAGCTGTCTACCTAACAGAGCTTGCCTCATGGAGTTCTGTGGTTTGGTTACTGAATTCTCACTTGCAGTGCTATACACCAAAGGGTCTTAAACTATGAAGTACAACAGAAGTGAAAGTATAAATGTACTCCATCAACAGCCTATCAGTAAATCCTTAAGTTCACCAAGCATTTTATATCACTAAAATTCAAAAGAAATACAGACAATTTAGTTTGGAATATGGGAAATGGGGAAAGCATTTGAAAATCAGGGAGAACAAGGGTCTAAAAATAAGGTTCTACAGGGGGTGAGAACAACATCTAAAGTAAGGGGAGACAGAAGTTACCTTCTCAAAATATCCAAGGCACCCTGTCGCTCAGTCACTGAAAAAGTAGCAGTGGGCAGAGGCAGACCAGAACTGCTCTGAGAGTTACATAACTTTCAGTAGAAAAAAACATTGGTTATTGATGAAGAGGAAGCCCAAAATTAAAATTCAGTAGGGGAAACTACATAGGTAAGTATTTTTACAGCTAGCAGAAGTATCATAATGTATTTACTAACTTTAAAGTACTTGTAAAAGAAAAGACAGAATTGGGTTTGAAGGCTACACTGACTGTAACTGTAATTCCCCCATTACTACTAAGCCTTTTTTTTCAATATCTGCCTATACCTGCTAACACCCATTATCTTATAGGTTTGAATTTACTCGTAGATGTATAGATGCCAATTCAGTTTAATCTTTCTTTGACCCCAATCTTTTCACAAGAATTTTATATATGTATATACCACCAAAAAAAAAAAAGCATTTTACAGTGCTCCCTCCCTTTCAACATGAATTATCCTATGAGTCTGTAAATGAGGAAATCCTACCCTGAACTGTGATGGTAAATCACTTTTATACTTGTTTGAGATTATGAGGCCTCAAGGAATGCCTACAGAAAAATTTTGTCTTGATTCATAATTTTAGCATATCAGAACCCAGGTTACATAAGTAACTGCAGGAAGATGAAAGTGTGGCAGAGAATTTATATTCTAGAAAGACAATCTAGAATTTAACTCTTCACTCTTCAACTAAATTTTGTTTATACGCAGCACCTCTCAAGTAGATCACACTTCTTAAATGTTTCAGATTGCTTGTATCCTGTGTAGTTCAAGGACACTTGAGGTTTTCTTGGTTCCTTATCAAAAAATTTTAACCATTCCTTGCTGCAAATCTCATACTGTCCTTTATTCCTTCTGCGTAGCCCACTTAGTTTGCTGCTTCTCTTTCAACCAGAGAAGAATGGCACTATGCAATGAGAATTCAAGAATTCTATCTTTAACCAACATAAATCACTGTTTTTTTAATCCTGGTCTTCTGGAGTTTGAATGATACTACTACAAAGAGCATCATTTCTATGAACAGCTGGGGTTTTTTTTAATTATAAGAACTATTCAAGTATTTCAGTTTCAGGGCAAAGCACTAAATGCTGAAGACTCTTGCTTGGTGCAGGAAAATAAATCCCTTATTAATATGTAATATATCTAAAAAGGTTAAAGGAATGTAAATTCCATGGAGAACTGTAAAACACAGGACTCTCTTGGAAATGTGAACTGAAGTACACCGAAATGTGTCTTTTTAAGTCTAGAAGTGCTAGATCTTCCAAGGCATATATGCACCTTTACATGGGAATAAGAAAGGTCAGACTGCATTGCCTGATAATAAATTTTATGACAGAAACATAACTCTGAAACTAGAGATCCATAGTGCATAGTCTCTCAACTAGTATAATTCATAAAAGAAATGTAGATATGTTCCTAAGGATACTGTCACTAGAGGGTGTTATTACCATTTATATATAATACAATATGCTTGTAGCCATATTTAAAGCTACAGAATGGAGCATTATTAAACAGTATTAGGCTACAAATATATCATTCAATATACATGCAAAATACGTAAGAATAAATAAGTTTTAAAAAGTTTTAAAAATCTCTAATTCTAGGAAAGGATTTTTTCTTTTTACATAAATCATTTAATGACCACTAACCTCTTTACCTGTAGTTTATAAAACATTTCTAGAGTAGGCAGTATAATAGCAATCTATAAAACTCAAAAACCACTAAACTTTTCCTGTACAATCTAAAGTGACCTTTGAGATATTATCTAAGGTAGCAATCTCAGCATGTAATGAATATTTCTTGTCCTTCTTAAAACATCCTTCTTAAAACTTTTTTCCTGCTAAAGATCCTTCCTTCTACCATTTGAACAGTCCCTTCACTCAACATGCTAAAGCAACTTAATTTGTGTTTAGATAGCTGTGTTTTTATATTTGCCATCTACCACGTGGCAGCACTTTACTGCAGGATTAGTAACAAGTGTTTACAGTGTCAAAGAGGATGCAAGATGAAAAAAGGACAGATGGTTTCCTGTTTGCCCTTCTCTGTCTTCCCATGGCAGAGCCTTTTGGTTATGCAAATCACACATCTCATAGAAGCAACTGTTCTAGCAAAGAGTAAAAGAAAGAGAGGCTGATTGGTCAGCAAATGTCAGGGCAGAACAGTGATCAGGTTAGTTTTCTCCTTGGTTTACAACTCCAGTAAGTAACAACTGAAGTAGGGTTGAAAGCTACTTTTTTAAAAACCCAAACAAAAAAATAAACCATCAACAACAACAAAAAATCACCAACACCCAAAAAACAAAACCAAGTCAGCAAAATGCCAAAAACCTGACACCTACTGCTCATGTTTGCTGCACAGCAACACCATGAAAATGACATAAGATTTAGAATATATACTGAGAGTACAGAAATATTTATCAAAGAGTGAAAGTGTTGAAAAAATGTCCCAAAACAACAAAATAAATCAATGGAAAAAAAATCTTGAATATACTGAGTACTGAAAAATATTCCACTGAAATGGCGACAGAAGAGCTAATATTCAGTTAAATTATATTTGTGTTATAAATAGAAGACATCAGCAAGAGAGGTTAGCTTTGTTCATATTTTCAGAAGGAGAAAAGATTATGAAAGAGGCACAAAGTGAGTCTTTTTGGAAAACAACGTCTCCTTAACACCAAAAATGTTCATATCACAGACACGAAAGACAGTGATTATTGCATTTCCTTACATTCTTCAGCAGTGTAAAAATCTATAAATGCATGTTTAAATGTCTCACAATACTTTTTGATATTAAGATTGTAACTATTATGTTAAAATGTAAAATTACTTAAACCTTCTAAAGCATTGTTTCTGAAAAAATATGTATACTTATGCATTGATGCTTATTAGCAATGCTGGGGAGCAGGTGTGGATGAGGGGCACACGTGTATTACTGCCAAAATATAAAACAACTTCTATCCCCTAAAAAAACTCCAGGGATTGAGGAAACTGCAGTTTAAATAGACAGTGCTAGAAAACTAATTTGACTTTCATACTTGAATAAAAGAAGATTTATCTAAAGAGTAGGATATTGAGACTAGTTATCTCATCTGTAACAAAATCAGTAAAGACTAAGCAAAAGAGGTCAAGGACAGTATATTTGTCCATCACACATTTACATCAGAGAAAATAAATTTCTATACTTCTACAGCAGCTGAGCATCCTAGCTACTATGAATTCTTTTAACTTTCTGCACATAACTAAGTAAAGTTGATAACTAAACATGGGTTGAACTGTGCTAAGCACTATTCAAAACACGAGAAATTTAATCATTTCCTGTGTGTACATGAACTGAGCATAAGGAAGGTTGTCACTGTGCTTATTCAAAGGGAGAGGACAGGGAATTTATCCATGAACAGCCTACTAACATCCTTGCTCTTTGGGAACTTTTTTGGTTTAAATATATATAAGAAAACTGTATTCTTGACAGTAAAATAATAATACAGTACTCTACAAAGATGGTAGATTAAGAACTTAGTTCTTTTCAGTCATTACAGAAAACTGGTGCAGAAATGTGGCACAACAGACACCTCCACTCACGACAATATTAACTACACATGCACATAAACCTTACACACCAGAACCTCAAAATCTGGCTTTTCAAAAATTTCCCCTTTTCTAAAAGTTAGGAAAACAGTCCCTACAACACTAACTGATATTAAGGAATGCCGCTGGATTGCTCTGTTACTAATGTATCCTTCATATTTGAGTGCCCCTATTTGACAATAAACTAGGGTACATATCCTTATAAAATGCTATTCCAGGTACAATTATAAAATAAAACATGTTGTAAGTTATATTGCCTTAGCTGTCAAGAATATTTTTCTGTACTATTTTGCAAGTTTGAGTTTACTACTCAAATGCATAAACATTAGTTGTCCATCCCACGTTAACTGACATTAATATTTCTCCCTTTCATTACACTGTAATTTTAAGGAACCCTGAAGTTATGTTTTAGTGATTAGTTAGCAGGTTGTTAAAGACTAATACTCTGGTAAATATTTCATTTACAGAGACAAATGGCAAAGTTCAAACATTGGCTAGCATTTATTATTTATTAGTTATTTTCTAGATGTTAAAATACTGGCTGAAAGCTACAACATCTGAAAAAAATGTTTTCCCCTTTAAAACAAAATAGTAAGTAGGAAAAAATATTCTAGTGCCCATTAAAAAGTTTGAAATAAAGTACATCACAGACTACACAACTTAAAAGCAAGCAGTATTTGAAGCTGGCAGAATAGCTCCTGAAGGCAGCTACTTGTAAAAACAATTTTTTCACGGAATTAAAACGTGTTTTGTGATTTTCAAATGGACATTTTATTTTAAAGTTCCCTGATATTAGTTTTAAACCCAATAATAAGAACAAAGCTTCTGGGGCTATTTCTGCCTGCTTATGCTGTATAACTCACCACATGTTCAACACTTTCTGGCAGCTACACAGAAGGAGAGTAAGGAAAAAAAGAGAATCAGAATACCACACAGAGAAAGAATTTCACATCTTGCACACATAGCTGTTGGTAGTCAGAAGATTGTCCTAAATATTTCAAAATTAGTTGAAATATCAAAAATGCATGCACTTCTCTAGCATAGCAAGATGTGTTATTAAAGTCTTAGCCTAAAAGTACAAGCTATAGAAAGTCTTTTACTTAAAAATTTAAAGACAAAACTAGACAGAGCACTGGAGTTTTGTCCCTCACCAGTGGCTATTAGTTTAGATAATATTTCTTTAATAACTATATGAGAAAAATATTGAAGCAGCTGAGCCCACGAGATCCAAAGAATACAAAAACAAGGACATACTTTGTTTCATCCATTACTTCTACTTCTGCAGGAGCTGTGATGGGTGCATTTGAACGGCCTGCAGTTGGGTCATCTGTGTTGAGTTCTCCATTTGTTGAGCTTACTACCTGAAATCACCAGAAAGACTTGAAATTATGCCAGTGCCAGACTCACATTTGTTAACTCCTAAATCTTAAAAAAAAAAAAAATAGATTTTTTAATTCCATAATTCTTTTTATTTCAGTAATAGTTTCTTTGCCAGGTTTCATTCTGGTATCCCCATGCTCTTGTCATTTTCCTTTCATATCTATTAGTGGAACTGACATTTACATGACACACTCAGTGAGTGGACTAAGCAAAGCACCTCAGTGGATCAGGTTTGCTCATCTCCCTCATGTCTCTTCAGAGTCTTAAGGGAAGGCACAAAACACTTTCCTGATACCAATCAATCTAACCCTGTCTCTGCTTCTTTAGTGTATTTATGCTCCTTAGTTTCCATCTTTGTATGGCCTGATTCATTTGTATCTCAAAAGCGTACTCACTAGAAGAAGGGAGAACTAAGACATTTGCTAGACTGAAGAGTATAAATGGTATCTGATTTTTAGAACACAAAAACACTGCCAAAAAATTAATCAGCTGCAGAGACCAACAGTAGTCCACAGTCCAAGATTATTACCAGCTGCTGCCTGATGGTCAGAGATTAATGTAGACAAAAGGAGCAGGAAGAAAAGCCACTATCATAATATTATTCCCCTCACCCTTCCAAGCTCTCCTCTTAATGCAGCAGTTGTATCTTATCTATTTATAGCCAGAACTAAGAGCCTAGCCTATTGAGGTTTGCTTTGTGGTTCCTTTTCTAAGTAAGTACAGAGCGTCAGAAGTCTGCTACACTTAAGGCATTTTCCATGCCATATGCCTACATTAGGCTGAGTTCTCTTCTTTTTCATGTTTGACTAAAATAGCAACCACTGACAAGAAAAACTGCTGCCCTGTAACAAAACAAAAGATGTCTGAGATTGCAGGATCTAATTAGTTACATTTTAGTCAACATAATTGAAGGAATTGTGGGAGACTGGGCTTTATTTCTATGATGACAGGTAAGTCGGTGTAGTTTCAACAAGGTGGTTTAAGCTTAGTTTCATATCACTGCGCATGACAGAAGCACTTCACATTCAGTGACAGAAATAAATAGGAATTGTACTTTAACAATAAGATGGTGGGTCAGGCATTTTGAACCAAACACTCTAGGTTAGTAGTTTCGGTTTGTGGGTTGTTTTTTTTTGTTTGGTTTTGGTTTTTTTGTTTTTTTGTTTTTTTTAACAAGTATCTTAATATTTATTGTCATCATTGTCCAAATTTACTTGGAAGGAGAAACAGTATGATCCCAACCACTTCACCAGGTATCTTACTGTGCAGATAAATTTCATTGCTTCTTGTGAAATATCCAGTTGTAATAGTGATAAGCACAGTGGAAAGTGCATCAGAAGTACTTGCTAAATAAGACAGGAGCATTGCTGACGATGTAAGGGTAAAAAAAATTTGCTCAACTTGTCCAAGGGGGTTTTTGGGTCCAAAGGAAGCACAGAATGGTTACAGTTGGAAGGGACCACTAGTGATGTCATCTGGTCCAACCCCCATGCTCAAGGAGGGTCTCCTGGAGCACGTTACTCATGACTGTATCCAGACAGCTTTTGAACGTCTCCAGGGAAGGAGACTTCACAACCTGTCTGGGCAGCCTCTTCCAGTGCCTGGCCACCCTCATAGTAAAGAAAGTCTTCCTCTTGTTCATGTGGAACTTCCTATGCATAATTACATAACTAACCACAACTACAGCCTGCATTAATCCATATAAAGTAATGCTATCCAATTAATATTGTAGTCAACTTTGTCTGCAGTCCTAATAATTCAGGATTTCTGCTCCATGATCTAAATTCAAAATGAATTTTTCTAAAGAGATCCTCAGGGATCGCACTCAAGGTTTCATAACAGTGGTTGATCAAAAACTGAAGCCTTTGTCTTTAGTTTACTCAAGTAAGGGTAGGGTACATCAAGAAATAAAAAGACAGGTATATGTCCCTTTCTGGATGGAAAGCATGCACAATACAACTTAGCAATCCTGACTATTGCAAAGAACAGGTGACAGTATGCAAAGGCATTTGCAAGAACTCTTATTTTCTTCTCTTTTCTTACACAAAGTAAATGAAATAATGTATGATTTTTTCACAAGTTAAATAGGCCCCAACTCTAGCATTGGTAGAGCTTTCACATGGCATTCTCCATCACACTTCTTTCCCAGGAGCACCTGTTTAATTATTCCCATCTATCTCCTTGGACAGCAGACTTTAAAAAAAAGGATCCAACTCAAGCATGTACACACTTGTCACTTGGACTGGAAAACATGAAAGCAAATATCTAAAAATCCTTTGAGAAACCCCCCCCATTATATTAACAGTAAGGCATATTACTGTTATTTCCTAGAAAATGTCCTCCCCATCCCCAAAGGGTATTAAGCATATCTCTTGCAATTGTTGCATTTTATCTGACAAAGAATAAAAGGTTTCTTAAGTGCTACAATTATCAAACAAGTGATATGACATACAATTTCAAAGTTCTACTGACTGTAACTTAACACATTAAATATGTTTTCTTTCTAATATTAAAAAAAAAAATTAAAAAGTAATAATTTTAGAAGACAACTCCAAATCCAACTTTGATTCCACATGACTATACTGTTCTCAAAAGATGAATTATTTCCTTTAAAACTGATGTTATTGAGAGAACTACTGCAAATCAAGTTAAATATACCATAAAGCTTTTAAAAGATTTATTAATGAGAAGCACAAAACTTTGAAACTTTTCTTGATACATAGTTATAATTATCATTACTAGATTTTCTTACATGACACATGACAGTTGTTTCTAAAGCAGCAAAATTTAGAGGATGTTAAGTTTTAATTGAGTTCCAAAGCTTTAAAGAAGACATGGAATTATCACACTGGCAAGACTGCAGCACTGTTTGACATGGCTTGAATAATACTGAATTCAGTCAATAGTGCATTTTAGTTGCTAATATAACTAACACATCAAAAGTGTAAACTTCAGTTGCTTGCACTATTTTAAGTGCACATTCCATTAAAAAGACAGTTCAATTGTTTTAGACTTTCACTAAGAAACGTGCAGGAAAAACTCCACAAACAAAAAGTTCCATAGTTTCTACACCTGTTTTAATTTCAGTTTGACAACTGTGAACCAAGGAGTAACATTCTGAGCATTACTGGAAAGTAGTTTTAATATGAAAATGTGAATTATGTCATACACTACAGGATACCAGTATTATGTACCAGAAAACAACTAATTTAAGTCATGCAAAGAAGCAGAAAATACCTGTACCGAGCCACCATGTCTGTCAGCTGCCAGGTGAGCCCTCAAATGATGTGGATTGGCTTGTTGTGAGTCCCAAGCTGCCCTATGGTCTGTTGACTACCATTTTTGAATGCATTAGGAATTTATGCAAAAGAAGAAAAAAAATTACGAAAATAAAAAATTTGTGCATTAATTATTATTGGGGTTTTTTTAAAGGCACAGAAGCACTATACACTTAATTCCTGTATAGATTGCACTTCTGCATTATCAACATACTTACACATGACTACACATACATTTTCATAGAGAGGTGAAGCAGCTAAAACTCAAAATTCGTAGTAAGAAAAGGTACACCAATGCAACCTTCTAACTTTGCTAAGGTAAATGGACAGAACTCTGAATTTCTAAAATTTTTACCACCTTGGTCATTAGCCTGGTTTAAAAAAAAAGCAAAAATCTTGTACATACACGTTACCAAAATGAACCCAAATAGATGACATGGTATATGGAAAGTGACAGTGATTAAAGAAGTATCAGAGAGAAAATGCACTACTAATGTAAGCTACATTATATCATAGCTTCAAACAAGCAAATTTTTAGGACATTTTAATGTATTTCTAGATCTGTAAACTTTAACAAGGATCTACTTAAATCCAAGTCAAAACAGAGAAAACCTGGTGTCAATTTTATTTTGGAGCTCTAATAAAATCAATAACATAGCACACATCATTAGACAAAAACATACTAATGTTGATAATTTTATAAGAGTAGTTTACCTGATTTTTGGATTGTTGCATTCTGTCTCTGTGTTGATATGCTTCTCTGTTTGAAGACATTGCAGGGTCTGAATGTACTGAACCCACTGGAGTAGGCTACAAATATAAATAATACGAAGCTACTGGTAAAACCCCCAAATTTCTAAGTCTCATCAAAAGTTACTGGTTTGTAAAAGAAAATAGTCTTTGAATCTGACAGTTTCCAATAACACAAAATCATCAAATTAAATAAGAAGTTTCACTAGATATTTACACTTAACATCAAAAAGGAAAAAAGCAAACTAAGAATTACATAATTGAAGTAGCAATTCTAAGTATTATTATAAATTAATATTCTGAAAGACTTTAGGCTGATACTTTCTTCAGTTAGCAGTTAGAACATTCTGATGAAACCTGACTAAAGGGTTAAAGTAATTCTTTATGCAACCCCATTTTGGATTGAGCAGAGATATACTTAGATACTGAGAGTATGTCTGGAAAGAGAAAGAATATGAAACACTCAAGCCAAAAGATAATGTTAGAAAATGCATCTGAAAATGGGTTTGTAATAGCAGCTGTTAACAATTCTAATGACAGCCTTGAGGTGCACATCTCCTGAAACTCAATTCTGAACCACTGACTCAAAACTGATCACATAAAATGGCCATTATATTACTAACAGCTTAACTGTACTCACCAGCTGTTTTCCAATCCAGTCATATTCATAATCAAACATATAGCCTTTCCGATCAAGTAAGTCTGTGAAGAGCTTTCTTAAGTAGTCATAGTCTGGCTTTTCAAAAAAATCTAACCTTCTTACATAACGTAGGTATGTAGCCATTTCCTCTATATAAATAAGAAATATACGTAATTCTCATTACCTCTTTTAATGGAACCAAAAAAAAAATTATTTCATTTTAAAGCATTTCTCACCCTAAAACCTGAACAGTTGTTCACTACGAATCTGTGAATTACCAGAAAGAAAAGTTACTTAATAGTAATAATGCTCTTTGAGATAAACTGCCATATTCTAAACATATCCTACCAAGTGATCCCTCACTAATTTTCCCTTTGCATTACCTGTTTAGTTCTTCCATTCAACCTTCCAATTCTAATGCACAGTACGTCAAAAAAGTGGGGAAAGAAATGCCTCTACTTCTTTTCCCCCCTCAATTTATTTCACAGAGACAAGACTAAGGAAAAGTAAAGAAAGGGGTATATGACAAAGTATCTGCTCCTGTCCACAAGGCCTGCTGTGGACAGGATTTCCTTTCATAAGAGGAAACAAAATCAGTCTGTCATGAGCTATTCTCAGCAAATCTATTTTTCCTATCAGTGATACTGTTATTACCTTTCAAGGTGTTTATTTATATTTTGGCAAAATCATGTCCATTTTACGTATATCCCCTGTTCTGAACACTTTAGTCCAACTTTTAAAAAATGTCATATTTGCTTCTCCAGTTTTCCAATACCTCATTGATTCTCCTTGCACTTACGGAGAGCTAGAAGTGACACCCAAAACTTGCAAGTTAATTTAAATATTAGTTCAAGCTGCTTCCAATTCAGCTTGGTTTTAACAGGGGTATGACACTGTATTAAAAACATATTATTATTAAAAACATATTAAAAATATTTGAGCTTAAAGGGTTTGCAAAATTTTATGTGTGAACATAAAAATGCAGACTAGTTGATCACTGTAAGCATACATATAATATTTTTTTGTTTCCTTTAGAAGAATCTACATTTTAAGAAAAACAGCATTAGCTTGCTGCTGCTCCAAAAGGATAATTCTTCTTTCTGGGCCCAGTATTGTTTAACTTATCCATCAATGGCCTGGATGAAGGGGTAGATGCCTCCTCAGCAAGTTCACTGATGACATAAAGCTGGGAGGAGTGGCCCTTTTAGAAGGAAAGGCTGGGCCTGTTCCGCCTTGACACGAGAGGACTGAGAGGGGACCTAATTAATGTGTGTAAATGTCTGAAGGGGGAGGGTGCCAAGAGGATGGAACCAGGCTCTTCTCAGTGGTGCCAAGCAATAGCAAAAGAGGTAAAGGGGTGAAACTGATGGAGAGGAAGTTCCTCCTAAAAATGAGGAAGAACTGCTTTACTGAGAGGTGACCAAGCACTGGAACAGATTGCGGAGTCTCCCTCACTGGAGATATTCAAGAACCATCTGGACACAATCCCATGCCACATGCTCTAGGATGACCCTGCTTGAACAGGGAGGTTGGACCAGGTGTCCCACTGTGGTCCCTTCCAACCTGACCAATTCTGTGATTTATCACCATAGTACATAATACATGTATTTGGAAGCATTATTTTATTTATTTTTAAAGCCAGATATTAAGCAATTACTTATCCCAGTTTTGTTTTATAAATCAATAAGAACATTTTTATAAATAGTAGACATTACCTGGGAAGTTTTCACACAATACTTCTATAGGGGTTGCTCGTTTTGTGTCTCCAATTTTTTGGTAACGTTCTTTTAATGTATCAGCCTATGATACAAGAACAAAACAAGCATCTGAAGTTATACAGCCTGCAGACAAACATTCAAAAAGAAAAAAACAAACATGTCAATAAAAGCTGATGATCTGAAAATAGGACAGAGGAAGATATCAAATCCCACTACCTTTAAACCTTGCCATGGAAGACTTCCTCTGAGAAAATACATAAACATATGACCCAAAGCTTCCAAATCATCTCTTCTGCTCTGCTCTGAAATGAAAGGCAAATATTATTAGAAAATTCAAGCTGAGTAATTTTACATTATATTTGAAAGGTTAGCTTCAAAATTATGTAAAAATCATTGGTAGATGTAGAGTACTTGAAATCAAACTAAGCGTATTGGGGGGTTCTGGTGTACTATGCCCTGCATTACAAACACAGCTAAAATAAAAAAAAAAAAAAAGTAGATGCAGACTGCAGGTATATTCATCTCAACAGTACTTAAAGCAAGTTATCTTGCTGTAAAAAACTGGTTTTATTTTAAAATATTGTTTATTTAAAATTTAGTTTGACCCTTAAAATTGCATTTTAATTACAATATTTTTAATTCATTACTTGTGAACTTGAAACAGTTTAAGAAAACTTAAATTGAATTCATTTTTTCTCTATAAAGCCATGGAGAAGACAGCCTTTTCCTGCGGGACCCATAATGGAATTTCTGAGCAAGTCAATGGTGGACTGAAGAAGGCTCAGAAGTACTATTATTTGAATAGAAACCAACATAAAGAGGCATGTACATACAACCTGTCTCAAGTCTAGCTGATATTTAAGCTTTTACAGTACATAATGTCTGGCAAGGCTATAATTTTTCATCTGTACTAAAGCAGTGGCAGTCCTTCAAAAAGTTCACAGAAAGTTAAAACAGAAAGTAACAAGTAAAACACAGTGCATTCAAAGTTTTCAAAGCAATTTCATATAGTTTTTAAATTAAATCCATTATTTGTAGGAAAAGTAAACACAATAGATAATACCACGTCTTTAAATTACATGTAGAAAAGACATTTTTACATTTCCACCAGACTTCATTCTGTACTGCTGTTGAAACAAATGTTGTATTACGTATTGAGGAAACAGGCAGTATTCAAATCTAAATTTGAGTTCCTCCCTGACACAAGGCAGAAAAACAAAATTATAAAATTGTTTTCACCCAGTATTTCAAAAGACAAAATCACTATGCTTTGACAACAAGAAAAACAGAGTAGGAAATCAAAGTAAAAAAAAAAGATTGTTTGATTTTTTTAAATACAGCAAAGTTAACAAAGTCAACCTGGCTCTGATTTGATCAACACATAATATTGCCATAAATATACTGCATCTGAAGAACAATTATTAATCTTCATATAGATAGAACAACGTACTTAATATTCTATTCCTATCCCTACCTTCTCATCTGAACACTGAGTAAACACATACTAGCATGATAATTCTATATTTAGCCCATTACTTCATCACACATCTGCCAGCCATATGAGGCTCTTTCATGATCATTTCTCCTTCACTCATTTCCATGTTTCCAATTTCCTTGCCAACACTCTTCTTGTGCTCACTCCTCCACTCTCACTGCCCACTCCTGCCACTTTTCTCAGTGCCCTCTAGACAATTTGATTCTATCTGAATTTCTCTGCCAACCCCACAACATCTCATTTACTGATCACATGCTATCCTGATACAATCACACAGGGTAAGAAGAAAGCAGGAATAAGCTACAGAGTTCTTTTTATGCTGTAGAGTTCTATGCCTCACAGGTTCCAGTACGTGAAAGAAATGTTGGCTCCAGTTGCTGGCAGAAATTCTGTGCTCTTTATGAGATAGGGTGGGCATGCAGAAAATGAGTACTTCACAGAATGTTACAAGTGTGCAACAGACGGCCCACCTATGGGCAACACTAAGGCGCAGCCCACAAAAATGCACTGGAAAGTTCTGTTAGGTTTTTGCTAATCCCTCTCTTTCACATTGATTCCTACAAGTTATGCTGATGAAAAATTAACCTACTCTGCTCTAAAAAAAAAAAAAAAAAAAGTATTTTATGGAGGCAATGGCTCCTTCACAGAGAATCCTATCTATGAAAGGTGAAACTTTCAATCTTTATCTTGAAATTATTTCAAATTAAGAGGATTTTGGCTTTTTGGTTTTCAGGGTCTTTTTTTTAAATGAGCTTTGGACTGCTGGTGATATTTCTTTAGGACAGTTCTTTGGGAACTACTTCTAGGATACACCATTTGAATTCACAAAACTCTGCTACGAGAAAGGATTTTTTGTTTGTTTTAGTTCTAGGGACAGTGATTATTATTTAGAATCCATTTAAGTTCTTCACTGACCAATTTGAGCTAATTAAGAAATAGTAATCAAACACACTTTCCTATGGATGGAAATCTTCAAGATGAGCTGGAGAAACAGGAAAACCAAAGATTATACTGCTATTATTCAAAGAAGGACCTCTGAAAACTGGAAAAAAACTAGCAGTGGACTAACTAGAAGAAAAAAGGATTTCAAGCATCAGCTAGAGGAAGAGCTGCTAATGTATACAGATGCTAGTGTATCACAATATAATGAGATTAAGAGGATATGTTGCCTAAAAGGTAATAAGATCATAAAATGACAAACACACAACAAAGCTTTAGGGCAGATGGTTTCCTCTCTCAAAGTGGTCACCTGAAGCAAGCTAAATTAATAAGAAACCGGTACCTGTTATTTAGTTCATGAACTACAGACAATTATCTCAATTCAAATAGACTGATTTAAATGAACATTAGAGCCTCATTCAGCAGGCTATTCCCAGAAATCATCTTTTTTTTAGGATACACAATAACATAATCATAATATAGTTTATAGAACAGACATTCAGTCTTTAGTAAGCATCCATTATAAACACTACATTCCTCCCCAAAGAAAGTTACTTGGATCAGAAAAGACAGTATTAGCTACCAAGAAGATTACATGGTTAGATACAGAAATGGAAAGTGACAACCTACTTAACTTGAACTATCAGTCGATAAAATTTAGCAAAAAAAAATTTGAAACCTAGAGTTTGTAGTCTTACTAAAAATGATAGGATTTCATACAATAATATAAGGGACAGAACAGCATTCCTTTCTGAAAAAAATAATGAATCCCAAAGTTGATGATTCTGTTACAGAAAAATGAAGTTGCATGACAAGTACACATTGTATGTCATACTGTTGTCTTAAGAATAATGAGGACTTTATGTAAAAAAAAAACAACCCTATTTTCATTTATACCTTTAATTAAGGTGCCCACTGCAGAAGAGGTTGGAGCCCATCTCAGGAACTGAAGGTGCACAAGTCCCTGGGACCTGTTGAGATGCATCTACGAGTCCTGAGGGAATCTCAGGCTAAACCATTAACCATTACATTTCAGAAATTGTTCCAGTTCAGTGAAGTTCCCACAGATGGAAAAAGGAGAAACGTAACCCCCATTACAACAAAGGCAAGAAAAGGAAGACATGGGAAACTACAGGCCAGTCAGTCTCACCTCAGTGCCCGGCAAGATCACAGAGCAGATCCTCTTGGAAACTGTGCTAAGGGACATGGAAGACAGGGAGGTGACTGATGACAGACAACACAGTTTCACTACAGGTAAATCATGCCTAACAAATTTGGTGATTTTGCACACAGATAGAGTGTTGGTGCAGGATGGAAGAGTAACTGACATCACCCACCTGGACTTGTACAAAGCCTTTGACACTAATGTAGGACATCCTTGTCTCTGAACAGGAGATACACTGATTTGACAGATGGAACAAGTGGACAAGGAATTGGCTAGGTGGTTGCACTCTTAAGCTGTTGGGAACAACTCAATATTCAAGTGAAGACCAGTGAGGAGCACCATTCCTCAGGGGTTGGTATTGGGACAGGTGCTGGGTAACACCTTTGCTAGTGATGTGGACAGTGGGATTGAGGGCACCACCAGCAAGTCTGCCAATGAGACAAAGCTGTGTGGTGCAGTGACCATGCTGAAGGGAATGGATGTCATTCCAAGGGATCTGGACACGCTTGAGAGGTGGACCTGTGCAAACTTCATGAAGTTCAACAAGGAAAAGTGCAAAACCTGCACCTAGATCCGGGCAATCCCAAGCACAAGTACAGGCTCGGCAGAGAATGGAGATCAGTCCTGAGAAGGACTTGGTGGTGCTGGTAGATGAGAGGCTGGACATGAGCTGGCAGCCCAGAAAGCCAATCATATCCTGGACTCCATCAAAAGCAGGGTGGCCAGCAGGGAGAGAGAGGGGATTCTGCCCCTCTACTCTGCTCTGGTGAGAGCCCACCTGGAATGCTGCATCCAGCTCTGGGGTTCCCAACATAAGAAGTACATGGAGCGAGTCCAGAGAAGGGCTATGAAGACAATCAGGGAGTGTCTCTCCTATGAAGACAGGCGGAGAGTTGGGGCTGCTCAGCCTGGAGAAGAGGAAGCCCCAGAGAGCACATTACAGCACCTTCCAGTACCCAAAGGGGGCCTCCATGAAAGGTGGAGAGGGACTTTTTACAAGGACAAGAGGTAGTGGTTTCATACTGAAAGAGGGTAGGTTTAGATTTGATCTTAGGAATAAATTCTTTACTGTGTGGGCACCAAGACACTGGAACAGTTTGCCCAGAGAAGCTGTGGATGCCCCATCCCTGGAAGTGATCAAGGTTGGATGGGGCTTTGAGCAACCTGGTCTAGTGCAAGGTTTTTCTGCCCACAGAAGGGGCAGAACTAGATTATCCTTTCCAACCCAGACCATTCTGTGATTAAACAACAATAAACACATCTAACCAGAGATCAAGACTCTACTTAAGGAGTGGAAAAGTCACCCTTGTAGTCATTTACTATGTTCCTGTGTTAATATCAGACATATAAACAAAATTCAGTTGTGTTTTTCAAGTAATTACCAGTTTCATATTCGTGTTTATTTTCTTAAATGAGATAGGGGAATCTTCTTATTTAAGAAGGAAAAAGCTTATTTGATTTTAAAAGTCATTGTGCCACTGTTGAAAATTCTATATTATTCAAAAGTCTATTCTGTCTAATGGAGATGAGAGCCTAGTGTCAAAAATTTAAGTCACCCTAAGCTGACATCAGCTTTCATGCCTGAAAAATACAGTGAATGCTTCCTTTATCTGAGGAGACTGAGCTCCAAAAGCTAAGTCTAGAAAGCTCAAATCCTATATTTGAGGTTCTGGAGCATGTCCAAAACAGAGCAATGAAGCTGGTGAAGGGTCTGGAGCATAAGTCTTTTGAGGAGTGGCTGAGGAAGCTGAGGTTGTTTACATCCTGGAGGAAAAAAGAGGCTCAGGGGAGACCTCTACAACTATCTGAAAGTTTAGCCTCTTCTCCAAAGTAACAAGCGACGGGACAAGAGAAAACAGCCTCATGTTGTGCCACAGCAAAGTTTAGACTGGGAAAATTTTCTTCACCAACAGGGTTCTCAAGCACTGGAACACAGGGAAGTGGTTGAGTCACCATTCTGTGAAATATTTTAAAAGATCTGTAGATGTGGTGCTTAGGGATGTGGTTTAGTGATGGACTTGGCAGTCCTGGGTTAATAGTGGACTAAATGATCTTAAGGGTATTTTCCAACCTAAATGATTCTATGGTTATGCTTTACTGATAAAGCACCTTCTTGCTGTCTGAAAAGTGTGAATGGTTTCTCATTTGCCATATTAACAGTCGCACTTACAGTTGAGCTGTATGTATTGTGCAACATTTTTATGACCAATTCAAAGAGCAACCTAATCAGTGATTACCATGCAGTGATAAACAACCAGTTTACACAAATTCAAAGGGGTCAAACCTGTTTTCACTAGAAAACCTCTTTATAACTGGAATAAACAAAGATCTGAGTGCTCATACCTTTTTCCAGGTAAATTTATTCATTCAATAATAACAACTTTCATCTTTATATATATTCTGTCCTTTCATTAGCTCGTTAGCATAACCTTTAAATCCTTATTAACAGTGTAAGCACTAAAAAAAATAATCAAGAAATCAGTATCATATATAAGCTACTTTATTATTTTATGATGCATTTCAAAGAGAACAGAAAACTAGCAAGATACCACTGAAAACCTGTGTTGTTGCAATCTATTCACTTTACTATCTTTAATAAGTGTATCTGCTTCCTGGACACTTCACTCTGCCATGGTATACTTCTAAATGTGAAGATGTTATAATACAAAAAGATATACCCCATCTTTCTTTTACATATATCTAACAAAGATAACAATTCCCAAAACAACACCATGATGATTAGAGATTCAGAAAATATTATTCCCATAAACAGTATTTCCATAAGGACAAACTATATTAGCGCAGTACACAAAACTTGTACTTCTTAATGACTACAGACTGAGAAAAATTACAACTACAAAACAAGATGGTTTATGACAAATCACAGCTGTTGATCAATTCTTGTTTCTGCACTTAAAAAGCACACATACCTTTTCCTAAGTGTGTATTTATACTCATGTATCTAGCTGTTCCTGTAAGGCTCTTGTGTTCTCGATATGGTATGTGCTTCTTTGTTTCTGGATCTACATACTCCTTTGCTAAACCAAAATCTATAATGTGAATAATTTGCTGGGTTTTGTTTCCAGGTCGTCCTATTAGGAAGTTCTCAGGTTTTACATCTCTGTATATCAAGTTCTTTGAATGGACATACTCCATGCGAGAAATCTTTAATAAAAGAAAAAGGGAAAAAAAAAACAAACAACAAAACCAGAAAGTTTAGTTTAAGCTTCAGGTTATCACATTAAAATGTGTTAGAAGCTACATATCTTACATGGAGTTTATATTTAGAAGAAATCACCCCCATCTTAAAATCAAAGGGATATTGTTCTTAACAAGATATCTCCCAGTTAAGATCAATAAAAATTGTACACTTTCCCTAAGCAGATACATCAGTTTGTGTGTTGGAAACCTTCACACTGGACATTAGTCATGAATCATGTATTTAACAGTTTTCTCCTTTAAAAACAGGTGGTACAACTATGTTTTGTGCACATTAAGTAAAACCAGAAACTGTCATCAAGCAGTGAGTAGCAAAGTTTCATGTAGATCTGTTACACATTAGAGGTACAAACAAGAGAAGCACTGAAAGTTCATCACTATGCATATAATTACATTCCAGTTGGATCGCTTTCTATCAAAATTTCTGTATTCAGAAAGGAACAGGAAGTGTTAAATAAAACGGATCTTTGGATCTGTGATAACTTCAGCATTTTAAAAAAAGACCTTGGTCATTTTGGCTGTAAATAAGCTCAATATGTCTATATCTCTGTAGCTGGAGGTCTGTTATACAATTACAGTTGTGTTTTAAACAGCTATTTTTACCCTTCATGAGTAATATTCAGGGAAGTGGAAGTTCAGTATCATTAATATTTCATAAGGACTTATTTAAAACTCATATCATCAAGGTAAACATGCATAGATTTAATTGTCTTTCTTTGCATTTCCACCCACCCTTAGGTCAAAACCAAATAAGGAAATCTTCAAAAAAGACAATAATTCTTCATTGAATAATTTTGTGCTATAATTTCTGGGAGGGTTTGAGGAATCTTTCATGTGTTTGTTTGCTTTCTTGCTTACAAGAATGCTCAGGAAAAATATTTATGCTATTTAGCAGCCTCATAATCCAACTGCTTTTGCGTGCTAGAATTATTTATATTTAATTAAAGTTTTCTTTTTAAAAGAGTATGTCAAACTAATATTCATTATTTCAGGTTGTGACCTGTGAGAACTCCGAGGATGTCATGTAATTATATTCATGCAATGACTCTTGAAAAACTGAAACAAAGTAAATGGAAGTAACATAAGACAGTTTTCCTACTAAAACTGTATCACATGCTCTTTAAAGACCACTGACATCAATTTAAAACACGAGAACTGCAAATCTCTTAAGTTAAATAAGCATTTAATCCATTGCAGACTAATTTAGTTATTCTAGTGAATACTCAAATTAACATCTATTCTACTTACCAACTGTATGGCTATCATAAGAACGGTTTTAAGAGAAAATGTCCTACCACACAAGTCAAACAAATCTTCCAGACTAGGTCCAAGTAGTTCTAGCACCATAGCATTATATTTGCCACATGGGCCAAAATAATAAACCTGAGGTATTCCATCTGTAAAATGAAAATGCAAAGTAATTACAAGGTGTTAAATACGATTAATGAACACACCAATAAAATTCGTACTCAATTTCAAGTTGTTGTGAAGTTATAAATGCACTTTTCACATGAAAGCAAAAATAAAACCTCATACAAACTACAGGTAAAAGATACAACAGGAATAATAAAGATAGTATCATTTTCATTAAATATTTTGTGACTGTTACATATTTGACTCGTGAAAGATATAAACATTTTATAAAAAATAAAAATTAGAACCTCTCTGTTAGGTTTTGGAACAGTAAATTGAAACAGCTTTTAAAAAGCTATGAAGAGAGGCTTAAATACGTTCTTTTACCAAAAAAATGGAAAAAAAAAACCACCAAAAACCAAAACCCACCACACACTTAAATTAAACCTTTTAAAATAAGGCTATGACAAACCTACATTTAGTAATAAACCCACCTTTTTGTCTGCAGAAATAATTTCAAAACCCAAAAGAGATTAATGAACCAGAGAGTTCATTAATCAGAGGCAGGCAATCCAGAAGTTTGAAAATATCAACAGTTAAAGCCTTATGATCCAATTTTACTTACACCTTTTTGTACGTAAGCATTGTGTGACTATTTAATTAAAAATAACTTGGTATCATTGCTTTTATTCATTTTGCACTTTTCATATGCACAGGACATCTTACTCATTCAGCAAAATAAATTTTGTTTATATAAGGAACCTAGCTATTCCAGATTCTTTTTTTGCTCTTCAGTACATATCCTCTGTGTCTCACTTATTTGAAATATTCAGTACTATGAAAATGCATTACTCCTTTCCTGTGAGCTTTTCTACAGTATCCATTGTTACAATTACTGTACTATACAGAAGTACTAAACCTATTTTTAGAATACCTTAATGAAACACTGGATTTCACCTTCATTCTCTGTAGGGCAAATGTGAGTTTAAAAATTAAAACATCCCTAACTCTGGGTGTTTTTTGAGGTCTTGGGTTTTTCATGCCTTACTACAGTGCCACTTACACTGAGGGCACAGATTTATAATTGTTTCCACTACAGCTTTGGGGAAAAAAAAAATTAAAAAAAATACATTACTGTTTTAGCAAAACTAAAATCAAATGAATGACATGTTTTTAAGAGCATTATCATTAATATCTTTCCTACAAGTAAGAATAATGAAAGGAGAACCTCTAAAAATCCAGTTTAACTGTTCAGTGTTTTGAAGACCAGACCTTCAATTTATTTTAAGTATGTGTAATCATACCCATCTCTATACTAATATACTTAACATGCATAATTATACCCATTTCAGAAAGACTTCACAGGAGTAGCTTATCGCTACTAATGAAGGAGCATAGACCATATTGCATACCTCATACTGTATCAGAACATGGTACAAGATAGTGTTCTTCATTTTTTAAAAAAATCATCCCTAATTACCAAATAGACACCTAAAAGACTTGATCTTCTGACTAGGTAAAAACTCCAGAACACTCCAAAATTGTGTTTAACGCGTTATAACTTCTGCATATATGGAGCATTCTGTCTAAAATTACCCATATTGATAAAATAATTTCATATTAATAGTTCAAAGTACTAGAAGTTGGGGGTTTTGGTTATTAATCAAAACAGTCTTACTGCTTTTGCTTAAAAACAATAAGCTAATATCATCCTGCTACTTGTATTATCTCTTCATGTCTCTAGATCTCCAGAAGATAAGTCAGAAAGTAACATGATACTAATAAATAGAATCTGAGGTTTTTTCTCCACTATAGAGAAATAAATAATCTCTTCTACATAAATCTTTAAGAGATATTGGTTAAGTTAGAAAAACACAGAAATTCTGATTTTTAGAGAATTAAGAATTTCCTATTTTGTTGACAGGATATTCCAATACGTATTATCAATTAAGAAGATGTATATAATTTCCATTCTGAATTAGTCTGACTTCAATCACTTTCCTTCCACAAGAAGGAAACTATTCAAAACTTTTAAGACACATCCCAGTCGTCTTGTTGTGAAATAAAAGTCATTGTTCTTACATTTCTTGCTCAATAATTCATTACCATTCAATCCTTTCTATTACCTTGACATATCTTCTGGCCCATTCTCAAATATCCTTTATAAAAAGAAGTACCGCTTCCCATTATGTATGGAACTCAGTCATTATCACACAAACATCACTAAAAGTTACAAGTAACTTCCAACTCTTCCACCAAAGAAGAAACTTACTTGAGGCCAAAAAAACAGATTCACATACTCTCACTAAATTACCTTACCACTTAAACATCTACTTCCTTTCTAGATTTAAAAATCTGAATACAGCATTCTTATTTTCAGATATGTGTCACATTTGCTTATCCCTAGATATTTACACTTGATCACAAGTAAAACACTTTCATTTGAATGATCTCAATTTATTAAAGCCATTTACAATACTTTATGTGACTGCTTTGTGATAAAATTGTAAATCCATTTTAAATCAATATGACTTTGAATCCCATTTTAACCTCATGGCAAAAATCAAGAAAGTCATGACTTTGAAATTAACTATTTGAATATCGCTTGGTTTCCAGTTTCTTTTTCTAGAAAAGTTAACTTTCATTAGCCACCTAAAACATTGCTGCTATACAACACTGGTCTCCAAAATAAGAGACCAAATGCCCTAAAAGCGCATTACTATCCACTGGGGTGCTGGGGGGTGGGGAGAGGGAGGAGGGAGGGAAATAGAAAGATAATTTTGTATTTCCTTTTTTCTAAAACTAAGAAACTAAGCTTTTCTAATATTAAATGCATGGATTCACACTGGAGCTCTCACTAAGTCAGATGGTTGTATCACAGTACACATAGGAGAAATCCTGGCAGATAAGTGGGAATGCAGAGATGTTGACAGTAGTGTACCTGTTTGCTTATTCACTTTTGGCTTACTGTAATTATGTGTGCTCAGTTCGGTGGATTTATGGATTATATTGCCTAATGTTTGCTTAAATGCTTTAGTTTATGTACATGACGTCTAGAAAGTTTTTAAAGCTGACAGATCTGACTTTCCCTATAATGATGAAAGGATAAAAACACCAGAATAAAGAAAACATTACTAGAGTAACTAGAGTTTTCTCTAAGCCAGTCAAGAAACACACTGATGTGATATGCATTATATCTTATTGCTTAGACTGTTTGCTAAATCAGATTCATAAATGCTAGTAAAATACACAAGACTGCTCTTGCAGAACAAGGTGTTCTGTATTCAGCTTCCTATACACTACTGCCTTGAAACTGTATTTTTAATCTTCCCATGTGACAGTTCACTGGACAAAAACAAAAGACCTTAGGTAGATTTGCAGTAACAGTTATCTTTCATGGAACATCCATACTGGTACTCTGTCAAGGACACAATTCAACAAACTGCCACAAACACAAGTATTCTCTACTTAGTCTACAAAATCTGGTGTGAATCCTCTCAAAGGAAGAGATTATAAAATCCAGGGTAGTGCCATATGTGTGTTTTGACTTAAACCAAAGCAGCATATACAGAAGGGCCATACAATATCTCAAAACATAGCACTGTAATGCTCCTGAAACCACGATCATCTATGAACCATAAAACCCTAAACATGGAATGAGACACTGTATCAGCAACACGAATTCAGCACCAAAAAACTTAGACCACATTTCTTATTTGCAAAAATAAGAATATGTTTGCATAAATAAGAAATAGCAGTATAACAGTTAAATCTATTTTCAAGGAAAAAATCTTCTGTAACTAGGTATTTACATTACTAAAACAGAATTACAGATGCATTTTTATTGTCATCTTTATTAAATCAAATATCCATTTATCTAACATGAACTGTTCTGTGAACTGTATCATCAAACCTCCTTTCACAATTACAGCTATCTATTGTATGCTACAAAAACCCCACAATTAATCTCTGAAATCTCTGTGTGATGTCACAATCACCAATATAAATTTTTGCATAGAACCAGGCTTCTTATGACCAGTAATCACTGTTTCTCAGAAATATTATCATGTGAATCTATTATGCAGTTGTCATTCTTACCAGATCTCTTGCATTTATTCTAGGGGAAAAAATTAAATATAAATTGAGAAAATTCTATACATTTCCTTAAGCCAAATGTTAGAAAAGGATTAGTATAAAACAAGAAAAACTGCCAGAAACATTTTTATAGTTTTTGTGGGACTACACATGAAAAATAAATTTGCTATTATCGTCATCTTTCATTCACATAAACATAAATATTAGCATATTCACATTGATAATTGAGCAGCTCAACCTTCCTATTACAGGAATTGTATCAGCAGCAACAAACTCAAAATGGAGTCAGCTTCATCCCAAACTCACAACAAAACCATAGCAGCCATCAGTACACAGATCAACAGCACTTATGAACAGATACCTCTTCAGTCAAGAAATTCAATATTTGATTCAGTTTAAGCACTCTTACAGATAAATTCTTAAATTAAGGATAGAGTATTCTTTTTTAAGATCACCTGCAATTATTTTTATTAATCAGAGATTAAAAAAACTTCAACTAACTGCTTACTGTTTATTCCTCTACATAATGACCTCAGTCAAATTAGAACAAAAGTAATAAAGTAGGACAGTTTCACTAAAAAAATAAATAAATTAAAAACAGCTTTCAATTTAAGAGTAAAGTCTCAGTTACCTACCTAGGTGTATCTCAAAGCAAAGTTCTGAAGTTACTAATAAAATTCACTTCACATTTATACTGCATGACAGTTAGCAAGATATATAAAAATGAGACATCTCAGATACACCTGTAAGAACTCATGAAATGTAATTCATATGTCAACTGAGACTATTCTGAACTGACTTACTTGCTAACTCTGTAGCTCCCAGGTAAGACATTTTATCATTTTATCTTCCACTTCCATTGTTACTGATCATTACAAACATAATACATTTGTTTTAGAAATTAAATAATATACTAAAATCTGAAGCTCCAGTCAATTACTACTACTTT